GCGATACAGCGGAGCGACGAATCCTACCACCCGCCCTTAATATGTTGTTGTCGTCGAGGAATACGTTGAGCCGAATTAGTGAGCTGCGAAGCGAGATAGGTTTAGAGTGTTGGCAACACCAGATTTCTTCGTTGAATGCTTCCCTTTGCACCTGACGTATCCAGTATTCTTCGGCGGCACGTAGCTCTGCGTATGTTAACGGACCTCCTTGCCTTTGCTTTTCTCGCAAATTGCATATATATCGCAACCAATAAGCTGTAATGCGTTTCAAACGTAAAAACGACGAAAACCTAGCGAGCATATCTCGCGCTATGAAGCTAGCAGCACCAATAGAAGCGGTGTGAGTCAGGGTTCGCTTTGGGCGCAGTTCCAACTCGGTCGATGGTATTGATGGTGAGTTAGGCCAGTATTTATCATCCTGCGACAACCAGGTAGGCCCATTCCACCATAATTTATGCTGGATAAATTGCGCAGGTTGCATACCTCTTGATGCGCGATCAGCTGGATTACACTGGACCACAAATTTCAACTTTTTCTCTTTACCAGAAACGCCGTTATGAAATTCTTATGTAAAATCACCCCCTGATTCCGAAAATCAAGGTTATTTTTAATTCTATGGTACCATTTTTGAGATATTTGCAATTTACCGTTTTTGCAAAAAAAAAAAAATTGGGTCCACTTTATCATATATATCTCATTAATTAATCTCACGAATTAAGCAATTCCAAAACGGTTTGAAGCTTTTAAAAGGTAATAAAATTTTCTATAAACTGTGCATACAACCCTTTTTGCTAGGCCCTGTAGATTCAAAGATAACGAACAATCATTACCGATTTTTTCAATTTTTTTTGTAAAAATATAAAAAAAATTGTACTTTGCGGGGAAGGATCTCGAAAACCTTTTATTTTTTTGCAGATTTTTTTTTTCTCCCTAAGCTCTGTTGTATTACAAAAAAAATAAGCTATCATCGAAGAAAATCGATGCAAAACTACGTAAGTTATAAGCGATCAAATAAAAATACCCAGGTTGCGCAACTTCAATGTATGTACCTATACATACATACATATATTAAAGGTATAAAGTGCAAGTGAGATATTATCCGGATAAACGAATAACACCATAACAATGATAACACTTTTTCTTTAAATAAATCAAATAGTACTTTTAATACTCGAATTGTATTCTAGTAGGTAGAGTGGTTGCATCGAAAGGAAGAGTGGTTGGGTTCGAAACCTGCTGTAGGCATGTAGTTATAAACATGTATTTCCGTCAGTTATGGGTAAGTATGCAGGTAGATTTTCAAAATTATAAGACACAGAAAATTTCTAAAGCCTATATCTAAAACAGGTAGTATTTTCTTTTCCCGGCTTGTTATAAAAAGGAACCTTTCTGTCTAGGTAAGATTTGATTTTTTCAATTTTATTCTTGTTCCGAGTATAATTATGAGTTAATGCGCTTTGAAACTTCATAACATCTTCAAGGCTCGCCGGAGATAGTTCAGTTCATAAGTCTAATTTCAAAACCGTGATTTATTAAAAAAAATAAAATGAGTAAAAGGACGCGAGAATTTGAGTGTAATAAGGATCCAGATATGTTCTGTTTCATGTGTGGCCAATATACTATCATAAGGCGACGACGAGTGTTCTCAGATCATATCAAAACTTTATACTCCAAGTATTTTGGAATTGAGCCTAAAAGTGCTGAAAAACCATGGACACCGAACACTTTGTGTACATCGTGTCGAGTAGAATTGATTCAGTGGGAATCAGGACAACAAACAAAATTTGATACACCAATGATATGGAGAGAACCTACTTGCCATTCAATAGAGTGTTATATTTGTCAAACAAAAGTACTTGGCGTTGGAAGATCAAGAGGAGTAACCTATGCCAGCGTACCTACAGTGACATTACCAGTACTACATTCAACGGCAGTTGCGGATCCAGTTCCATTGTCAACAGTAACATCTGAGTGCGGGGGATCAAGATGTACTGAATTTCGCATGGAAAACGAAAGAAACGTTCTGTCACAAGCACAACTTAATGATTGGATAAGAGATTTGGAACTATCCAAGGAAAAGGCCGAGATCCACACTTCTCGTATGCAACAATTTAAATTTGTGTCATCCGATGTTAAGGTGACATATAGTAGAACTCGTCACGAACCATTTTCCAAACACTATACCAAGAAAGACAGTATATGCTACTGCAACGACATCCCTGGTTTATTCAAAGAGTTTGGTCAAACATATGATTCAAAAGAGTGGCGGTTGTTCATAGACGGCAATAAACTGAGTTTGAAGGCTGTATTATTGCATATTGGTAACAAAAAGCCTTCTATCCCGATTGCACATGCAGTAAATACAAAGGAAACCTACGAGGAAATGCAAAAAATACTCACATTTATCAAATATGAAGAGCATGATTGGAAAATATGTTCTGATCTCAAAGTCGTTGCAATGCTATGCGGTCTACAAAGTGGCTACACCAAGCACTGCTGCTTCCTCTGCAAGTGGGATAGCCGAGCTCGTAAGGACCACTACGTCAGAAAGGATTGGCCGGAAAGAGTCGAGTTTACCGTTGGTGTGGATAACATCAAATACACCCCTCTTGTCAAGAAAGAGAAAATCATACTTCCACCCTTACACATCAAGCTCGGTCTCATTAAAAACTTTGTTAAGGCTTTGGACAAAGAAGGCGAAGCATTCGACTATTTGAAAACAGTTTTTCCAGATATTTCTCAAGCCAAGATAAAGGAAGGTATTTTTGTTGGACCACAAATAAGAAAGTTGATCAACAATAACAACAATAAGGTCGTTGCTTCTTTTCTCGGTAGACACAGAAGCCCTAACTACGAGCAGATAGTGAACGACCTAATCAATAATTATGCGAAAATGGGCGTAAATATGTCTTTAAAAATTCACTTTCTCCACTCACATTTGAGCTTTTTTCCGGCAAATCTTGGCGACGAAAGTGATGAACATGGCGAAAGGTTTCATCAGCAAATGAAATTAATTGAGAATCGATATCAAGGATTCTGGGACGTCGCAATGATGGGTGATTACTGCTGGGTTCTCATAAGAGAAACCGATCCTAAACTGAATAAGCGTCAAAGTAGAACACATAATTATTTCGACAACATAGTAAAATCAAATTAAGATAAAGATTGTTAGAATATAGTATAAACATAAATAAATTAAAAAAAAAAGTTAAAAATATGGGTAATTTCATTCATAAATTGAACTTTTAACTCAATAGAAACAGAGCATAGCTAGATATTTCACTCTTCTTTATACCATACATACGTTTTGAGGTATACGTTGAAATTGCGCAACCTGGGTATTTTTATTTGATCGCTTATAACTTACGTAGTTTTGCATCGATTTTCTTCGATGATAGCTTATTTTTTTTGTAATACAACAGAGCTTAGGGAGAAAAAAAAAATCTGCAAAAAAATAAAAGGTTTTCGAGATCCTTCCCCGCAAAGTACAATTTTTTTTATATTTTTACAAAAAAAATTGAAAAAATCGGTAATGATTGTTCGTTATCTTTGAATCTACAGGGCCTAGCAAAAAGTATGCACAGCTTATAGAAAATTTTATTACCTTTTAAAAGCTTTAAACCGTTTTGGAATTACTTAATTCGTTCTTGAGATATATATGATTAAGTAAATTGCAAATATCTCAAAAACGGTACCATAAAATTAAAAATAACCTTGATTTTCGTAATCAGGGGGTGATTTTACATACGAATTTCATAACGGCGTCTCTGGTAAATTTTGGCCGTCGACCAGTGTTATCGGTTGTACACACATGGGACCAATCTTCCGATGCTATATTCGATTGTGCTGTTGCGACTCGGTTCGCTACAAATACAGACCAGCGGCTGGGGTGGCTTTGTAACCAGGCCAATGCGTTCATAGAATCCGTCCATCCATATATCTTGGATACCAGTCCAGCTAACGATTGTTGAACGTGATGTGCGAGTTTTGAGACCAGAACGGCGGCGCACAACTCGAGCTTAGCTATGGAAATAGAACGGAGAGGTGAGACCTTTGTTTTTGCACTTACCATAGCTACAGTTATTGAGCCGTCAGCATGTCGTGTCCGAGCGTATACTACACCAGCGTACGCCTGCTCTGAAGCGTCTGCGAAGCAGTGCAGATCTGTCTTTGAACCTTCCATTCCGGTTCCAAGCCATCTTTGGATTTTGAGTCCAGAAAGTAATTTTAAATTCTCGCGATGATTCAGCCAGCAAGCGGCGATGTCTTCTGGTACTGCATCATCCCAGTCTAAGCCAAGTTGCCAGAGTCGTTGGAATAACGTTTTGGGGACCAAGGTGATTGGAGCCAGCTTCCCTGTAGGATCGAATAATCGACAGGAATCTGACAAAAGCGATCTTTTGGTGAGATTTTTCGGTGGGGACCCCAATTTGATGTCGAAGTATAAGTAGTCATCCGTGGAATTCCACATTAGTCCTAAAGCGCGTACTGTATCGTCGTCAGCAAGCAAATGAGATATATTGTGCTCTCTTGCATCGAGAGGAATATTGCGGATGACGAATGGCGAGTTTGTTGCCCACTTCCGCAGTTCAAAGCAACCATTTCCAAGTATTCGGGATATTTCTTTGCGCAGACTATTGAGGCTTGTTTCGGATGAGCTACCGGTTAACAAGTCGTCCATATAAAAATCTCGGAGGATGACGGAAGATGCGAGGTGGTAGCATGTAGCGGCTTCTTTGGCTGTCTGCTGCAGCGCTTTGATTGCGAGATGAGAGCTAGAGGCAATACCATAAGTAACCCTTAATATACGAAAATCTTGTAAGGGCTCATGTTTGCTTCTGCGCCATATGACTCGTTGATAATCGACGTGTTCTTCAGCGACCATTACTTGACGATACATACCGCTGATGTCAGCGGTTAAGGCGTACTTGTGAATTTGAAAGCGGTTTAAAATAGAAACTAAGTCTTCCTGAAGTTGCGGCCCGATCATCAAATTGTCATTAAGCGACAGGCCGTTTGTAGTTTTTTGCGAAGCGTGGCATATAGTAATTTGATGAAGGCACGTTACTTGCCGGCTCCATATGACCCTGATCCAACATATCTTGCAAGAATGCATGATATTGTTCTCGATGCTCGTTATTTAGCTCAAGCCTTCTTTCCATTCTTAACCAGCATTGTATCGCTATAGCCCGTGAGTCACCTAATTTAATATTTTCCCTAAATGGCAAATGCACGATAAAGCGCCCTTGCGTGTTTCGTCGGTGAGTTGTTTCGAATAGATTTTCACATCTTGTCTCTTCTGTCGTAAAGTAACGAGTCTCCGGTAATTCATCAAGTGTCCACGCCTTTATCACTGCCTTTGTTAAGTCGCGATCTGAATATATGCAAGGAGATGTATTGTTCGATTTATCTAAGGTAGTTAGCTTGCCGAACAGCACCCAGCCAAAAACTGTCTTCTGCGCGATCGGAGTATTAGGCGGGCCCTTTATAACCTCTGTTTCCAATAGCGAATACATTTCATCAGACCCTATAATTAAGTCGATGCGAGCTGGCAGGTAATACTGCGGATCAGCTAATTTTAAGCCTTCAATGTGCGGCCATTTGGAAGAGTGTATTTTCGTCGCGGGCAAAGATTCTGTAAGCTTTGTCAACACGAAAGCAGATAGAGGGAATGTTTCGGTGCCCTCCATTGGCGTCAACAACAATGATGTTTCGCCCTTTACCTTACCCTTTGAGCATCCGATTCCGGACACAATGACTTCACTTCGCCTTTTAGCTAATTGTAATCTTTGAACACATGCTTCAGTTATAAATGAAGAGTGTGAGCCTGAATCAAAAAGAACGCGCAAAACATGCTGCTTTCCGTTGATGTCACATGCTCGTAATTGGGCAGTAGCGAGAAGGACGGCTTGCCCAAAGGTCGCGTCAGAATGTGTGTCCGAAGCGGTTGCTTCTGGTGCGCTTAGTGCGGCAGTGGCAGAGTACGACGAATGCCTTGCAAGTAAGGTGATGTTTGGATTGTCACTATTTTTGGATGATTGTGAATTCGCAGTATCCATCGAAGTAGTGCCGGTTTCGGAATAATGAAGTAGCGTATGGTGGCGATGTCTGCATATTCTGCACGTTGATGCGCTTCGGCACTTGTCTCTTTTATGCATCTCGCTCAAACAGTTTGTACAAGCGTTTTTATTTCGGATTACGTCCTTTCGCGTGGTTACCGGGATTTCACGAAATTGAGGGCATTGATAAATTCTATGCTCACCAGAAGAATACAAACACCGTTTGGAATCCGTCTGACCCCCTTACGTGGCGTGATATGCATTGATTTTGTTTTTGGGTTTTGCTGCAGTCTGTTTCGTAAGCCCAGTATGCGTCAACGCTGCCTATAGCGAGCGACATCGAGTTTCGAGAAATTCCTGCAAAATATTAAGATCTACCTCTTTTTGTTCTCCAAGTGAAAGTTCCCATTGTCGTCTTGTTTCGTTTGCTAGC